AAACCATTGATTTTTGTCATATTAATACTCATCTCAAACACACTTAAGGACACACACATCTTCAGAGAAATATGAAAACATTCAGCTTTATCTAATTTCTTGATTTATATTTTGCGAACTTCCAACTTCAGTCTCTAACTCACCCACTCTTTTCTGCCCCAGAACCTCACCTTTGCATTCCCTTCTCACCTGCAGTACCCTCCCAGAAGTTGGCAACCATAATCCCACTCATCTCAAACACACTTAAGGACACACACATCTTCAGAGAAATATGAAAACATTCAGCTTTATCTAATTTCTTGATTTATATTTTGCGAACTTCCAACTTCAGTCTCTAACTCACCCACTCTTTTCTGCCCCAGAACCTCACCTTTGCATTCCCTTCTCACCTGCAGTACCCTCCCAGAAGTTGGCAACCATAATCCCACTTGTAAGTGGGGAGCAGCCTACATCTTTGCTCATGACCCAGCAAGATAACACCAACATTCCATTTCTTTTCTTACACAGAACTCATCTTTCATCACATTGCTAAACAATATTATTTAGCTAAATAAATTATATAACTTATCCTTTACTCAATGACTGTACGCTTCTGACAACCAAGCACTGTGTCTTAAGCACCTTTCTGTCTATGTCATCGACCAAGCTTGAGTACTTCCTAATGGGTAGAAAATGGAGATTTCTGAGTGGGCAGGAGAATGGCTCCTGTGAGCTAGGGGTATGTGTGCACATCTATTTCTCTCTGAAAATTCCTTCCCAATTAAAAAATATACCACCATATACCCACAAATAAACTTACTGTAAGACAAATTCAATCTCAAAAGTAAAATTTCAAGACTGGGATAACATCTAAAAATCTTCAGATTTTTTTTCTGAAGTGCTATTTTAATCAATAAGTATAATGAATCCCTTTATAGATTATAATTTTTATTATCACAACCCCAATATTTATGGGTCAAATAGTTTGGTACTGCTCCCAATTGAAAGAGTGTGGGTGAGGCAGAGGAGTAACAAGATTACAGGAAAAGCAGATGTACTCGCAAATCAATGAAACAGGTTGGAAACGGAAGACCCTGACTTACCAGAGGGCCTAGTGGAAAGACCACAGCAGCCATATCTTTGCCTCTGTTCTCTCTGGAAAGAGTAGAGTCCTACAAAGGTAGAGGTAAGGTAAGGTAAGGTAAGGAAGAGAAACAAGCTGTGAAAGCTAATCCTGCCTTGGGCATTTCAGACTCACCAGCTGAGTCTGAGCAGAGCCTCCTTAAACAGAGGATGATCTCAAAGACCAAGTTTCTTACTCCTGGAGATCTGAAAATAGTAATATTATTAACTATAGTCATAGCTTGCAAGTCAGGTATCATACAAGCAACTTTAAAAATACTTCTTCGTTTAATCTTTACATCAATCTAATGGGAATTACAGTTCCATTTCACAAATGAGAAGACCGAGGTTTAGAAAATTCAAACTATGTGCCCAAGCAAGTACTTCAGTTGAATTCCAAGGCTCACATCTTTCCCACTAGATTAATTTGCAGTGTGAAGGACAATAATTCAAACTTTCTTTGCCACAATTACCTACTCATTTGGTTATTAAATATTCTATGAATCTTTTCTTTCCTGTCTCTCTGATAAGTGAATTTCCTGACATTTTTAACAGTTTCAGTTTCTTCTAAAGGAAACATTACAATTTCAATTTCAATGGTATTAGAAACCTTGAGATAGCCCCGCTCCCCTTCCTAGTCTTGGTTCTTCCTCCCCTTCTAACTTTCGATGGGATTTTCTCCCACCAGTGGCTTCTCCTGAGCATGTACTCCTTCTTTATTCCCCACCCAACCAGTCTCCACAGCCATTCAGTTCAGACAACTGGCTCAACTCAATCTCTAGTTTACATACAAGCCAGAGCAAAAGACCATGTACTGCACAAGCAAGGATTCAGTCGTGGCAGCCATGCTGACAAATGAGTCCACTCCCTTGCTGCAGGGAGCTGCTTCTCTCCCTCTGTAAATCTCTGCTGGTTCTTCCTCCTTGCTCATCACTCTTCATGCTGGAGCCTATGAACCTGGGAGCACTGGCTCAGAGTGACTTCAGTGGTCACTGAGTTTAACCCTAGCTCTCAGGGCTAAATCCATCTGATCCAGGAAACAGGCTCTGTCACTCTCACAGAACCCTGCACAGTTCTTGCCTTTCACCTTGTTGAGGCGGAGTCTCTCCTGCTATTTCTGCTGCTGGGCTTCATATTCCAGGCTGCCTGGCCTGTGAGCTTCCTGATTGCCTGTTTCCACATCCTATCTCGATGTAGGAATGCTGGATCACAGATGTGCACCACTTTATCTGTCATTTTTATGTAGGTTCTGAGGATCAAACTTGGGTCATCTGGTTTGTGAGGCTAGTGCTTTTACCCACTGAGTCATCTTCCTGGCCCTATTTATTTATTTTTGAGCCTGGGTCTAACTCTATAGCCCAAGATGGCCTCAAATTCACTAGGTAGTCCAGGGTAATCTTAAACTTGCAGCAATCCTTCTGCCTCAGCCTCCCAAGTGCTGGGATTACAAGTGTATGCCTCCACTCTGGCATTCAGCTCATATCCTTAGAAATGTGCTTACCTTCCCACTCCTTTCTTTCTCTTTCTGTTGGAACCAGCTTCCACCAGAGAGGCCAATGCCACCACAGGGAGGGAATGATGGAAAGTACCTGGGTTATTAGATGATCTAAAGGCCAAAGGGCTTAGCTCCAAAAAGATGGAAGGTACCTGGGTTATTAGATGATCTAAAGGCCAGAGGGCTTAGCTCCATACACAGCTATCATCCAGCCAGTATAGGAAAGAAACCTATCTAGGCACAGTGAAAAGTCAGTAAGTTCAAGGAGAAGGGTCAATGAGATGGTTTAGCAAGTAAGGGTGCTTGCTGCCAGGCCTAGAACCAAAAACCAATTTCTGCAAGTTTCCCTTTGCCAGTGCACACACATGCACATGCACACACACACACACACAATAAATAAACAAATATAAAAAAAATTAAAGAAGTTGAAGGAGGAAAAACACTGCACTATGGAGATAAGATCTGGGAAGAAAAATCTGGGGTGATTCCCATATTGAAGCCTTAAGGCTACCAACAAAATGGCTTTCTCTTATACCAATGTTTCTCTAGAATGTGTTTTAAGGTCACGGATCATATTGCAAATCTAATGAAAACTGTGACTTTTTTCCCAGAAAACTCTTACATCTGAGGATGCTGAATTCACTAGGCATGCTTATTAAAAAAGAAAATCTCTTTGGCTCCATCCAAGATACTAATCAAGATCTCTACTCCAGGGGCAAGGCACAGAAATCTTCTGTTTCAGTGAGTATCTTGGGTTTGTTCTTTAAGCAATATTGTCCTAAAGCCAATTTCTGAAACTCAAAAACTCTTCTTTACAAACTTGGAAATCCAATTGAAATAGGTTTTACCAAGAGGGCTGTGGGGCCCAGACAAAGCCATGATCCTGCATTAAAGTTGAGTTTCTGCCTCAACTCAGGTGTTTCTTGAAACACTCTTCAACAGTAGTTGAAGCTGTTCTAATGAATATTAACACCTCACACACAATGAATAAATGTAAAAAAGAAATTAAGATCCTTAAGAAATAAATTTTTTAATATGTAAAGACTTTTTTTTTTTTTTCTGAAGCAGGGTCTCCCTGTAGCCCCAGCTGTCCTGGAACTCACTATGTAGACCAGGCTGGCCTTGAACTCACAGGGATTCGCCTGCCTCTGCCTCCCAAGTGCTGAGATTACAGGCATGCACCACCATGCCCGGCTTGTAAAGATTTTTTAAAAAAGATGTTACTTGGTAATAGCACCCAGATTATGCAGGTAAAATGTGTTTAACAACCAAACTGTGAACTAAGCACCTTTTAAGTTTATTTTGTAATAAAAATTAACAATCTTTTTTTTTTTTTGGTGTTTTTGAGACAGGGTCTCCTTGTAGTCCAAGCTGGCCTGGAACTCTCTATGTAGACCAGGCTGGCCTTGAACCCACAGAGATCCGCCTGCCTCTGCCCCCCAAGTGCTGAGACTAAAGGCGTGCGCCACCACGCCCAGCCAAAAATTAACAATCTATTTAAGATTGAATATATCCAGCTTGATCTTGTATAAACATATTAATAGAAAAACAAAAAATGAGACTGCAGTTTTTAATAAGCCAAAAGCTGCTGGAGACTTCTGATACCTGGGGCTATGGTGTCCATTTGTGTTTTTCTATATTTTCCAAGTAGACAATTTAATAAGTGTTTGCTATAGGAATAACATTCCAGGGTGGTTGTGGACACATCCAAGTTCTAGTGTACGTTTGGCTATTGTAGCAATGTGACTATACATACATCTATTGAATTCATGAATCGGTCATTAGCAGGTTCCCACATTTACCCTTTGGCACTGTGCAGAAGGTCTGTATTTCCTTTTTTTGTTTGTTTTGTTTCTAGATGTTGCGACTTCACCCAAGTCCTCTTTCCATCTATCAACAGACTTAAGAGAAACTTCACTGGTGGCTCCCAAGTCAGCGTATTTAAAAATAATGAAGAGTCCACGCTCTGGCTGAGAACTTCAGCACCTGGGACCAGGCCAGCAACCCCAAACCAATGCAACGGTACCACTACATGCTAGAGAATGACAAGTGACTTACAAAGGGGTTGTTTTGAAACGCCTTAAAATGAGCCAGCAAAGGCTGCATCAGGGTAGCACAGCTCGGTCCTGGCAACGGAGAAGCTGGGGCAGCGGGGCTCTCGCTCCCCTGGGGCAGGTCGGGGGCTGGGCAGAGCAGAGCGCGGGTCATGGAGGGCGGTCGTGGAGGCGCGGCCCTAGGTCCGCAGCCCAGGCTCCGACACTGCGCTCCCGGCACTGGGAGGTTCCCGGAGCCGCCAGACCCGCCGAGGCCTCCCCGCCCAGGAGCCGCAGCCGGAGCCCCGAGCTCCACTCCCCGGTGGGCGGGTCCGGGAGGCCCGGGCTGGAGGGAGCGGCCACGCCCCGTAGGCTGCCCGGGCCCCGCTGGGAGGAAGGGCGCCGGGCAACCGGCCTATGCCCAGGGCAGGGAGTACCTGGCGGCCGCTCCGAGGACAGCTGAGGGCGCTCCCAGAGCAGGGAACGGACGCGTCCAGCAATGGCGCCCTCACGGCGGCCAGCCTCTGGGTAGGCAAGGGCGCATGCGCAGTCCGGGACAACGCCGTCCAGAATCGTCTGTGGCCAAGCCCTCCTCCGGGCACTTAGAGTTAAGCTTCTTTGCAACCTAAAAAATTCAATCAAGTAGCTGGGCGTGGTGGCGCACGGCAGAGGCAGGCAGATCTCTGAGTTCAAGGCCAGCCTAGTCTATATAGTGAATCCAGGACAGCTGGGGCTACAGGGAGACCCTGTTTCAAAAAGACCAAAAAAAAAAAGAAAAAGAAAAATTCAATCACGTTGGAAACATTTGCGTGGAGAGGCCCTTACTGTGACACGCACTAGCACTAAGTATCTCTAACAAAACCTTTACCCGAGAACACGTCTGTGGAGCTAAAGAAAGCCACCCAGACACCAGAAACGGCCGCCTGTTCCTTAGAAAACCTCAGAAGCCCGCAGAGGTGTAGGTTCAAACTTTTGCTTGATTTACATTCAGTTTTTTTTTTTTAATCGAAATATTGGAAATACTTTCACTATAATGTTTGGTTCTATAACCAAAAAATATTCTAAAGGAACCCTCTCCAGGCTTTGACTATCAGACAATTGAAGCAATGGCATTCAGAAAGCTGGAATTTCCCCAGGAGTCTCATGCTGGGGAAAGAAAAAGACTAGGACCCCAGTGCCATGCAGAGAGGGTGCTTGTGTCCTGGAAAGGGATTTCACATAGTTCTGACCATTTGTTAGACCACTTTACAGCGGTTAGAAATAGAAATGGTGACGCGAGAGATCCTGCCTTAACCAGGACTGCTTAGCTATGTATACATCCTTTTCTCTATTTAAACCTAAACCTTAGGGGCAAGGGGAGGGGGCATTGGGCTTCTTTGTTTCTCATCCCAATGCTCCTTTACCTGTTCTTGACTTTTATTTTGTCTTTTTTTACAATTATTTTATTTTTATGTGTATGAGTCTATTGCCTGCATGTGTAAGTGCACCCATGTTGTGCAATGCCAGTGGAGGTCAGAAGGTACCACATCCTCTGGAACTGGAGTTAAAGATGGTGTTAGCTGCCATGTGGGTGCTGGGAATCGAACCCGGGTCCTCTGCAAGAGCAATCAGTACTCTTAAACCACTAAGCCATCTCTCCAGCCCTTTATTTTGTCTCCTTAATAGGCCACCTGAGGAGGGGAGGCTGAGCCTGACTTGTTAGGGCTGGGAGGGCACACATTCTGACCCTAATAACTCTGGTAACAGTTTTTTTTTTTTTTAAGGATTTTGTTCTGGGGCTGGAGAGATGGCTCAGTGGTTAAGAACACTGACTTCTCTTTCAGAGGACCAGTTTCAATTCCCAGCACGCTCATGGCAGCTAACCACTGTCCATACGTCCAGTTCCAGGAGATCTGACATCCTCTTCTGACTTCCTCAGGCATTGCATGACATGGGTGCACTGACACACATGCAGACAATACACTCATACACATAAAATAAAAAAAAATATTTTTTAAAAAATAAAAATAATGAGGGGCTGGAAAGATAGCTCAGTGGTTAAGAACAGACTTGTTCTTACAGAAGACCCAGGTTCAAATCCCAGCACCCACAGGGCAGCTAACAACTGACTCCAGTCCCAGGGGATCTGACAGCTGCTTCTGTCCTCCGTGGGCATTGCACAACACAGGTACACTTACTTACATGCAAGCATAACACTCATACACATAAAATACAAAGAAGAGGGTCAACACAGAGGAAACATTTCCTTTATGCTTCCAAGCAAAACCAGCCATGGTCGGGCAGGACCTATGACTTATCTTCACATAGGCAGAACTGGTAAAAGAAAGGATCCAGGGACTCGTCCCAAGCCCATGTGACCCCTGAGGAACAGATCCTTAAAAGACCTTAAGAGTAAAAATAAATTGGTTTATCTGGGTCAACTGTATGGCCTTAAACACCCAAAAGGAAAGTAAAACCAAATATTAAAAGAACCAATATAATTTTTTAAGAGTCCATATGTATAGCTAAAGGCTACATAACAAGCAACAATGCCAGATAGGAGATACCTTCTTTTGAGTTGTTGGCCAGGGCGGCCCAAGGGACTCCCAGATAGTAACCCAGCATAGAACTGGGAAAATGAACAGCAGACCCCAATCTTATCTAAAGGAATATTGACAACTGATTGCTGCTAGATGAGGAACAGCTGACCTTCCTAAAACAAAGACCTCTAGATAGGTAGGCTGACTAGATTCACCAGATGGACAAGTAGTGGGGAATGGCTGGGGGTGCCGACAACACAGCAGACAGTAGCAGGGATATCAGAATATAAGGGCTCTAGTGGGGGAGGAAGGCTATGGGAGGGTGCCATCTGGGAAGTGGGTGTATAGTTGAATAAGATGGTTTGGGATGTTCTGTGTGATATACACACACACAAATCAACAAAAAATGTATTATATTTGAGAGGAAGCATAAAAACTTACATCATGTTAATTAGTAGAGGTGATAAACATTACCATTGAAATCTACCCAATGACTTTATAGACATACCCAGGTGCCAAGGATCCAAGTGCATCTGATTATGACTAGTAGTAATAATCAGATACATACAGATTAGAGATGCATGTGCCAACATCTCAGTGTTAGTAGCAAAAACAATGAGTCTTTCTGTAAGAAACAGTATATTTTTAAATGAAATGGAGATCTTTTTTAAAGGTTAAAAACTCATTCACTTTTATGTCTTACAGGGCTTATACTGAGTTCAATATTGTATAACTGTATTAATTCAACAGCGAACATAAAATTTTATAGCCACTTTTGAAAGAGCTGTATCTTTGCTCTGGAAACTGTTACTGAGAATATTAAAGCTGTAATGATATGCTGATTCTAAAAAAATAAAATAAAAAATATTAAAAAATGTTGGAAACTATATTTTAAAATGAAATGGAGATCTTCTTTAAAGGGTAAAAACTCATTCAATTTTATATCTCACAGGGTTTATAATGAATTCAATATTATATAACTGTATTAATTCAACTGTGAACCTAAAAATTTACAGCCACTTTTGAAAGAGATGTATCCTTGCTCTGGAGTATGTTATGGAACATGTTAAAGTTGTAATGAAATGCTTCTTCTAATCATGTGGTTACTAAATTTTTAACAAATTAAAAAAAATAATTCTTCAAAGCATAAAAATTTGCTCTTTAATAATTGATGGATGTGAAAAACATTACCATTGAAATCTACCTGATGACTTTATATCCATGCTCAGATGCCAAGGAGCTCA